AAGAGAAAGGAAAAGGGATCCCTGTGTGCAAGCTAACAAAATCTCTCTATGGCCTAAAACAAGCATCACGCCAATGATACATCAAATTTCAGGAGACGCCGTCTCTAGCAGGGTTTACCTCAAATGGGGAAGACTACTGCATCTATAAAAAGATCAATGGGACTGATGTAGTGTTCATTTCCATATATTTGGATGATATGCTCATAGTTACTAAGTCGGTTGCACTCGTGTTGGAAACAAAGAAATTCCTTGCACAACACTTCAATATGAAGGATCTAAGGGAAGCCTCATATGTGTTGGGTATCAAAATAATAAGAAATAGAAAAAGAGAGAACCATTCAACCTCCCAGGAAAATTTACTACAAAAGAGTGCTAGAAAAGCTTGAGATGGACAAATGCAAGCCCATGTCGACCCTATAGATAAAAAGACAAAGCTAAGCAATCAAATGTGCCCTAACGACAATGATGAAAAGAAACCCATGGAAAGAGTACTATATAGTAGTGCAGTAGGGTCCCTCATGTATTCTATGTTAAGAACAAGACTAGACTTGTCCTTTGCCATGAGCATGATTAGCCATTTCCAATGCAACCTTGGGATTGAGCATTGGAAGGCAGTTAAAAGAGTTCCGAGATACTAAAAGCGACTGAGAACTACACGCTTACATATGGGGGAGGATCGAAAATCGTTATTCAAGGATATTCCGATGCCAAATAGCAGGGGGACCCAGATGATGTGAAGTCCACATCTAGATATCTATTCATGCTTGGAGAAGGGGTTGTTTCTTGGAAGTCGTAGAAATATGATGTGCTAGTGTTACCCACCACGAAGTCAAGAGTATGTGGCATGTTGCATGGCAAACAAGGAGGTTGTATGGATTAAGAAGTTTCTTAGTCAGCTTGATTTTGAACTCGTACGATGTGAGTGCGTATGAATCTTATACAACAACACGGCCGCAATATTTGAGTCCAAAGACATCAATTACATACCTACAGATGTAATGGTTGCAGACCCGCTTACAAAGGGGTTAGCTGCAAATGTTTTTGTAAAACATATAAGAGAGATGGGGCTGAGAGAAAGTGAGGAAGACAGATTGTAAAACCTTCAAAGGCCAAGTGAGGGAATGCTGGGTTTCTATGGCCCTTAAAGGCGTTATGAGAGCATGTAATCAATATTTCGATGTAATGGAACAAAATCTCAGTGGGAGTATGGTCCAATTGGACCGAGATTGGAAAATGAAGTTTGTCGAGAGTCAAACTAGACTTAACGAGCTAGGCCAGTCGAGTTACAAAACCCTTAATACCTGGGCATAGAACACAAGTGATGAGGGTTAGCAAAGTTATCCCTTGATGAGGTCGGAGTTGCCTAGGGTACAGAGCCAAGGGACTGTGTGACCCTTGTATGTGATGGTAAGCCTGTAGATATATGGCCCAAAGCCTCATCTTAAACCATCACACGACATGTACATATGAAAGCCATGTTGGAAAAGCAAATCACCATTGAGGGTGATTCATGCAAATGTGCGAGAGATAATCCCCATATGCACCATAGAGTTGTATGTGTGCATCAGATCTGTGTCACCTTGGACTTGTCCCTAAGGAGAACCTGCAATCCATAAACTAGGATTGTGTCCCATCACCTATTGGATGACTTTAGTAGCCCAATCATGAAACAGCTATAGACAAATGTCTTTGGTTGTACATGTTTTGTACACCTTGATCAAATAACTATGGACAAATCTGATGCACCCTCAATGTATTGTGTTTTCATAGTTAGTCACTTACTCAAAAGGGGAATTGAGTGTTATGACCCCAAGAAGGCGAAATAATATGTGCAAAGACATGTGACCTTGAAGATGTTAGTTAGTTTCAAAGGATTCTGATCCTCAAGTTAGAAAATTAGGGGAAGCATCTTCTACACCTCAGTGTAGTGAATATGAGAGAAAAAAAAAATGTCCATCTTGACCTATTCAAAAAGACAAAGGCAACCCATTGTTGAGGATGTCATACCAACTACTGATCCAATGATCAACCTCCTCATGAGTCAACTAGAACCGATCCTTATAAGGTCTATCCTCTCCATCTCGCTTAGAGCTTCGAGTTGCTATACAAAAATAAAAAAGATTGTATTATGCTATTGAACATTTTGTTTCGTATACCATCTTTTCTTTGTATTAATTTCTCCTTTCTTCTGTTGATTCTGTCTCAGAACCCATAACTTTGGCCATCGAAAACCCAAATTGGAAAAGAGCAATGGAGGAAGAAATTCAATCTCTTTGGAAAAAAAGGATACCTGGAAGATAGTGGATCTCCCACTTGGAAAGAGGGTGATAGGGAGTCCTTCAAGGTCGAGTCTAAACCTGATCAATGCATTGAACAGCACAAGACACTACTTAGCCAAAGGCTTCACGTAGAATTTAAGGAATTGATTATGAAGGGACTGTTGCACCCATTGCCAAGATGTAACCATTTGGGCTTTGCTATCCATTGTTGGCTGTAAAGGATAGTCTCTCTTCCAACTAGATGTCAAAAATGCTCTCCTTGTTCGAGATAGAGGAGGAAGTGTATATGAGATGCGAGGCCAGCCATTGCCAGGCTCTTCCGAGGCCTCCTAGCAAATCTGTCAACTGAAAAAGGCTCTTTATGGTCTTAAGCAGTCACGACGAGCATGGCTGATTGATTCAGCAAGGTCATGATTGCCATAGGATTCCACCGCACCAGTTCTGATTATTCGCTTTATATAAAGAGGTGACCACAAGGTACTTTATTGTGACCATCCCTCATTCGTTGTCCATGGATCCCATTATCAATAAGTGTATTTACGGCTTCTTGTACTAATTTTTCCTGACCTTACTTTCTTGTCTATGTTGATGATGATGTGGTAACGAGGGATGTCATTCATAGCATATCCTCTCTGAAGACACGTCTTCCCCACAAATTTGATATCAAGGACTTGGGCCCCCTTAAGTACTGCTTGGGGTATAGAAGGTGCAACCTCCAAGTAAGGAATATTTATTTCACAGAGAGAGTGCACCTTGATCTCTTACAGGAATCAGGGAAAACAATGATCAAACCACTTTACTGTCCACTTGATTCTAATATCACAATGGATGCAACTCCAAGAGAAATCCTTAGTGATATAGGAATGTACCAGAGGCTGGTCAGTCGCCTCATTTAAGAAAACATTACCCATCCTAACATCCCCTATGCAGTCAACAGCGTCAGCAGGTTCACACACACGCCATGGTCATCACATTTAGAGGCAGTTGCACATAGTTTGAGATATCTAAAAGGCAGCCCTGGTAAAGGACTCCGATTCAAGTGTAATTTGTATCTTGATTTATGTGGCTACATAGATGCTCACCAGACTGATTGTCTAGTTGATCACCAATAGGCTACTGGCTATTGCACAATGGCGGGACAAAAATTTGGTTACATGGAGAAGCAAAAAGAAGATAGTCACACGGTCTAGTGGAGAAGCACAATATTGAGCCATTGCATCAACTGTATGCGAACTTTTATAGCTACGAGTGCTCCTAAATGACATGGGAGTGCACATTGTATACCTATGGATTGTGACAATCAAGCTTCCATCTCCATTGCCACTAATCCTGTATTCCATGAAAGGACAAAAGACATTGAGGTTGATTATTATTTTACCAGGAAAATAGTGACAAAATAATATGATTAATATCCACTCAATATACCAAGACTGAAAATCAACTAGCTGATAATTTTACCAAGCCAGTGGGTCGAGCATTACTTCACAGCATTACAAGCACGTTGGGCATGAATGACAAACATGCACAAATTGAGGGGGAGTCTAGAGAATGTGTATATTTACGATGCATATACAGTCCCGAGGTTTCAATAGGAGTGATACAACCATAACTTTCAAATCTCTTTCCTTAAATTAGAAACTTATGATGCCATCAATCACCCTATCACAAGCAAGAAATGATCTGCCATCGGTATCAGATAACTATATGGTGGGCTTCAAGGGTCATTTCTCCGAACGAAGGCAGGATAAGGTAGAACTTGCAGATTACCTGAGTTCACGAAATTTCTGTAGTGCTCGTGCCTTTTGTGGAAAAAGCAATAGAAGCTCTTCTCAGACTTTACTTGATGAGGTAATTAAGTGGAGACAGTTACAGCTTGCTCATAAGAGCTAGCAAATATTTTTATTGATGGGTGGCAGACCAAAATTATACTTCTGTATTACAATAAACTAGAATATCAAAAGGCCCAACAATACCAAAAGCTAAATATGGAGTCTGGTTATGATCTTTGTATTTTTTTGATAAAAAGTATGGTCATGATCTCTGAAGCATGTAAATGAGATAATAAGGTCATGGGAATATAGAGATGGCTGCTAGACCATCCATTCCTAAGGAGACTAGCGGAAATAGGTACAAGAATCCAGCCAATCAATACATCCCAATAATTCTATGTGGGCATCCTGGACCATGACAACTGCTGAGAGTGGAGACCAATATTGCCAGGAATTCAACTTGGTATGAACACCAAAGGAGATGTGAGAAGATTCACCTTATTCGCATCAGCCAAGAATGTCACAAACTATCAACAAGGCCGAAATTTAATTGGTTCCCAAACATCCGCGACAATAATAAAATTCTGGAAGGCAGGAAACAGAAAAAGTGAGGCTAATCGGGAAGGGTACAAGGGATTCTGTTTACCCCCATTGTGAGAAAGTTGTTCACAGTATTGAGAAAAATAGAGTAAAATAAGGGGATGATTTTACAGTGGCCTAGGAAGTGGATGCGGAGCTAATTTTTACTACTCTCCGAGGCAAGTGCATGGTCTAGGACTACAAGATTAATGATGCATTAATTGTGCATAAATGCATAATCAGCCAAAAGTGGTATCAAATTCACCAACAAAAAAACTAATATGAGATATTTTTCCTTTCTCTTTGAGATCAACCGTGACTGATAAAAGTACAGAAATACAAGTACATAGATAAATGCATATGTTCTATGAACCTTGTCTTCCTCTAGCTTTTGACGGATCTTCTCTCTAGCTCTCTTCTCTTCATCTTTCTCTGCTTTCCGCAATGCCAATATACTGCACCAGAGACCACACATCAGATTCTTAAGTTAATAAAGTCTGTATATGTACAAGTAACAAAATATAAAGAATCAGAGAAACCAGAGTGTAAAATACATACGGGCAGTGATTTCATGTAACAGTTGTATACCAATATAATGCAACAACCTTCAAAAAATATGTTAAAAGCCATTTGTTTGATCCAAATTTCAAGATATACACTCTTTTCATTCTAATGAGCAATCACAAAAAATAAAAATTTGAAAATGCAACCTAGAAAATATTTTTTTAGCCCAATTAATGTAGGCTATCCATTTTCATGAGATGCTTAGATCAAGACCTTAGAATGATCTTTCTTTCCAAATTTTTTAGATAACTTTACTATCATTGGAATAACAATATTAAAAAAGAAAAAAATGATTTTGAATTCAAAAAGGCCTAGATCTTGAAATTCATCAAATAGATAGTCTAGATTCATTGTTGGAGAGGACTCATTTTGACCATATATATGGTGCCAAGTAGTTTTTTATTTTATTTTTAGATTGATTATTGAGATGAAAAGAGTGTGTGTGCCAAATTTACAAATACCACAAATATGGTTTTATAGAAGTGTGGTTGCATCATACTATGATACAACTATTGCATGAAATCATTGCTCAATACATAATAGGGCAAAGAATATAAAGAGGATACAGAACAAAACGAAATAACACAAAGAGGCTAACAAGCGGTTCCACCAGTACATAGGATAGAAAAGGACCAAGTGAATGGCAAGTCAAAACAAACATTACAAAAACTAGTCAATGATAGATGTGAACCAACCGTTTCCTCTCATTTTCCTCCTCAATTCGTTTTGCTTCCAAAAGCTCCTTGCCTACCCGTATCCGCTCCTAAAATATATGCATCAAGTACATTTAGAGACAATTGATACAGAGTTAAGAAATTTCCGGAGTAACAAAGAAGATGGATAACTCAAACCACCTTCTGCAGGGCCAAGTGCATCTTAAAATAGGAAACTAGTAAAACAATTATAAGTCTAATTGGAAACTAGAACAAACAACATACAATTGAGCACACATTCAACAAATTCCAATACAAAGGAAAAAAACAAGATTTCTGATAGATACTTTCTTGCATAACCAGCCAAGAGGGTTCCAGTTCTTCATCTATGAGATTTTTGGCAAAAATCAGAACAGCCACAAATTATTATAATGTTGTAGGTACACCTGAAATACATATTTGATTATTTAGTGCATCATTGTAGTCTCAATTTTTTCCAGGCTCATCACACCAATTATGTCAACTTTTCCTCAACCATTAATTATGTCATGGAGGATATACAGGAAGTAGAAGAGAATGAATTTTAAGGAAGAAAAGCAACAATCAAAAATAGAAGATGACATTAGATTAAATGGAGCGTGAGAGATGCTATAGTATTATTTTTTTATTCAAACGCTATAGTAATATTGAATGAGAAAGCATTGGACAATATCTTATATGTTAACTGCCACTACGATATGGTTTCTTCAACCACAAAAATAAATGCCACATGCAGATCTAAAGCAACTATCACAAGATTTTTTCTCATCTAGCCAAACTGTGCGGCCTTGACTCCCAAGTATGGTTACTTGAATTCACGTTCAGCCTCCTAACATGCTATGAGCACACACAAGCACTACACACAAAAGGAGCACAAGAGGGTCAAGAGCCGTGGGCCAACTTTATTGCCCTCTTTATAATTACAAGTAAAATGCTGAAGATGCCAACCAATGGTCTGGGCCCCTGATTTACAGCACTGTTTGAAAAGTCGGCCAACTTTTCAAAAATTGGCTGACTAACTCGGATTCGGGCACCAGCCAAGCCCGAGTATGCCGGATTTCATAGGCCACGTATTGGGAATTTCCCTATAGTGCACTAATCAGCTAATTTATACACTAATCAACACTAATTGGCCGATTTGTACACTAATCGGTGATTTATTGAAAAAAATGATGAATTTTTGCATTGTTCTAATACCTTTGTCTCTCTCTCTCTCTCTCTCTCTCTCTCTCTCTCTCTCCCTACCACTCCCTCTCTCTCGGTTTCCCTCTCTTTCTCTCGGTTTCTCTCTCTCTATTTTCCTCTCAAATTAAATGTTTTATACAAAAAATAAATAAATCTGCTTTTATTCTCAAATTGCTAAAATGCAATGTGAATTTAATAACTTATAAAACTGCTTTTAAAATTAGCTTTTTAGTGTAAAAAAATTTTAATTCACTGAAAAAGTATTACTTCAGGTTCGTAATGTCCGGAACCCAATTATGCCTATGGTATTTTTTTGTTTCACTTATTTCATGTGACAATATAAATAAACAATACATATAAAATTTCAATATTATTTACAATTCTTTTATACCTTCTTTTGGGATATTTTACCCCCATTTGTTTTTTCAGTATAAAACTCGGCACTAATCGGCCGACTAGAGTAGGTCCTACTAATCAGCTCAGGCCATGACCGACAAGTCGGCCCAACTCGTTCTTTCCAACACTGGTTTATAGAACCTAGTTACAACATATGATTTCCAAATACAAAGGGACACTTGGTAGCCAGCCCTTACCAAAGCCTGCCAAAAGGCATTACCTCATTGTGCCATTTGACGTGCAGGCAAGTGACCATTACAGGCCACTTATGACCTAGATGCTGCCTATTGTGAATTTGGACTCCATCCTTCCTGCCAAGGCCGCTTGGCCCAGGTCAAGCACCATCATTGGCATGCAGGCAAGTGACCATTACAGGCCACTTATGACCTAGATGCTGCCTCTTCTGAATTTGGACTCCATCCTTCCTGCCAAGGTTGCTTGTCCCAGGTCAAGCGCCATCATTGCCTTGCACCACACAGTGTCTCTTGTGTGCATGCATGAGCGTGAGGCCTGAGCCTCCATCCCCCGCACAAGTCTTGTCCACCATAATTGGATTTGGTCGGTCTATGGTGTTAGTAACCCCCCTCATAAAGGTTTGTTAGCTTCAAGAATTGGACAAACAGGTGCGATAGTTTTGTACATCCAAGTGGTACAAGTTCTTGCAGGATTTGTAGGTCATTTCTCCGTTGCATGTTAGCCATGGAAGGTTCATGACAAGCCTCCACCACCATGAGTTCTGACTTCCTCATTGGGGGTCTGGCCAAGAACTCGCTCAGTGGGGCTCGAACTGCCTAAATCCTTGTCTCATCCTCATTGCGATGATATGCTCCAGAAAGCTTACATGGCACACCAGTTGCACCTTGATCTGTTAGGGACGGCCAAGCATTAAGCCATCTTACCTATTCGCCTAGTCACCTCAAGAGGAACACCTTATCTTTGGATTAGGCCACAATGTGCCATCTTGATGCTAATCTTCTTCCATATTCAAGGAATGAGCTCGAGCACCACCTAGTCCCCAACTTAGAACTCAAGGTGTCGCCAAGTCAACATGCTTCTTCATGCACCAAACTGCTTGGTCAAGGTATTTAAACACCTCTAACTGCACCTCCCTCGCCTAAGCCAATCTCAATATAGCTGGGCACCACCAACCTTGCTGCAAAGCCACATCATGTGGCACCAAGGATTGTCCGCTTGTAGCCAGCTCAAATCCGATCTTCCCCGTCAAAGAGCATTGATGCAATTTTTCTCAAAAAAGAAGATCTTTGATGAATGTTATAGCAAAATTCGGCCAAATATAGCATGCTAACCCTATTCTGTTGGTTGGCTGTCACATAATTGTAGAGGTGCTCTTCCAAGATACCATTCACCCTCTTGATCTGATCGTTCGTCTGAGGGTGGTTGTTGGTCGAGAAACTCAGCTTCGTGTCAATCAGCTCAAACACATGCCTCCAAGACATCCTTGTACACCGAGCATCGTGGTCACTTACTACGTCCTCTCGCACAACCTACAACTTCTCCACATTTATTAGAAACAACTAGGCCACCATCTTGGCTATAAAATGGTAGGCATAGCAATGAAGGCATCGTGCTTGAAGAAACTGTCCACGACCACCACCATGAATTGGCTCATGTTGTTCACCTTTGGCAGCGCATTAATGAAGTCCATGGACAGTCTCACCCATGGACTATCAAGGATGGGGAGGGGCTGAAGTAGTCCGGCTGGCCTGTGCCACTCAATCTTGTCCTATTGGAACACCAAGTAAGTGTGGAAATGGTGCTCAATGCAATGCTCTATATGAGGCTAGTAATAGTCCTGGCCAGGAGAGCGGTCCTACCTTGACTAAAGTGACCCACAACGCAAGCATCATGAAACTCTCTAAGCAATTCCTTTTGTACTCCACTTAGGCACATAGATGTGCCTTCCTTTAGCATAGAGGACACCACCCTCTAGCCAAAATAGTGTGGTGTGTCCCACTTGGACCTATTGCATCAGCCTGTGAGCCACAGGGTCACTTTAGGTCTCTTCATGAATGTGCCAGGTAGATCCCCTCTACTCAGACCGCTGCTGCAACCAGATGGTCCATTACCGAACTCATGGAATCCGCGACCACATTGGCTGTCCCTGGCTTATACTCCAAGTCAAAGTTGAGCTTGGCCAAGAACTCTTGCCATTAAGCTTACTTATGGGTCTCTAAGTTGAGAAGTACCTTGTCCCCACACTACTCTTGAGCATATGCTGGGACAACACCCTTAGACAATGCACCACCATTTTCATCTCTTTCTCATGGACCAAGAATCATTGCTTGATCGCATTGAGCTTCTAGCTCTTAAAAGCCATAGAGCGCCGATCCTGGATCAGTACTCCCCTAATCGCTTAGTGGTAGGTATCTGTTTGCACCTCAAAGGACCTATGGAAGTCAGGGAGGAGCAACACCAGCTTGGTGATCGCCCTGTTCAACTTCCGAAAGGCCACCTCACAAACCTCTAATCAGTCCCACTTGATCTCCTTCATGAGAAAGTTTGTCACGGCCACGATTCTCCTGGAGTATCCCTCGATGAACTGCCTAAAATAATAGGCTAGCACCAAAGAAGAGCATAGCTCATGGATATCACTGGTCTGCAACAAATCAAGAATGGTGCACCTCTTGATCTTCCATTCCGATCATCCTTCTGCCCATAAAACATGCTCTCCTCCTGGGAAAACTACATTTTTTGCATTTTACATACAATTGATTGGCCCTTAGCGTTTCTAGCACCAGCCTCATATGCTTAACATGATTAGCTAGGGTCTGGATGTTCACCACTATGTCATTTAACACACAAGAACAAAAACGTCAATGTACACCGTAAGAACATCATTCATTAGAAAACAAAAGGTTACCAGGGTACTAGTTAACCCAAATGGCTTTACAGACAAATCGAAAGACCCATAGAGGGTTAGACAAGCAATTTTTTCCTCATCACCCTCTACGATACGAGCCTGCCAAATATCCTGAGTCCCGTTCAAGATTGCTAAAGACTCTGGCCTTGGCTGGTCGGTCAAATAGGTTACCAATAAGCATAGTAGATAACAGTTATTGACCGTGCTAACTTGTTCAAGGTGTAGCAGTCCACGTATATCCTCAACAAACCATCATGCTCCTGTTGGAACTACACCAGTGCACCAAAATGTAACTTGGGAAGCTGGATCATCCCTAAATCTAGCAACTCACCCAGATGCTTGCAACTCTGCCAACTCTGAAGGGGCCATATGATAAGGAGCTCTAGCCGGTGGTCATGCACCAAGCTCTAGCTAGATGTGATGATCGACAACTCACCGAAGTTAGGGTCTCAAGGAGCTCTGGAGGCATCAGATCACTATCTTCCTCCAAGAGTCCCTTGACTGCAAGAGGCACCACCAAGCATCCCTAGTCTCCTTGATCATGAAGAAGGCTAGCTAAGTCACTTACCCTTGCTGTAGCAGATACCATGCGTTTCCTTTCTCCTTGCAAACATTAGGGACAGTCCAAGGGGCAGTTTTCATCGAAAACAGCCACCATTGCAATGTGTGTCACCATAAAAACCTTGGCAATCATAAAGAACTCCAACCCAAGAATGGCTTCAAAATCATCTAGAGGAACAGCCATCAATGCCAAACATCCACTCCATTCTCCTTCACTAGCACTTCATGAGCTACCCCTACAACTATCTGGGAGCGGGTGATTTGAGTTCGTAACCTTCATTTTACTTGGGTGCCTGACCAGTTTGAGGCCTAACCTTACTGCCTCCGGGTCTGCCACAAAGTTATGAGCAGAACCAGTAGTTGCCATAGCTCGGGCCTTATTACATACATATGGCCACCTTTGGTGAGAACTTTCTTCAACACCTTCTGCATAGCATGAAGCTGAAGAAGAGTGGCCTCATGACCTCATCTTACGACCACATTCTCCATGTAGACAGCATCAAGGGACTGCTTGTGAGGGCAGTCCTTGGCTCTGTGGTGACCCTTGCATATGAAGCAGCCCGAGAAGTCATTCTCAGCCCCTAAATTACCAAAAGATTCTCCTCTAGGCCACCCAATAGATTAGTGCTTTGGGTCTCCACCAGCTTTCTTCCAATGTTTACCTTTGTCTGGTCACACAATTTCCAACGAGGCATTGAGATTGTACTCAGCAAGACTCTCGACCACAGCCAGAACTGCCAGAAGATCCCACTCTATGTCACCTCATCTCGACCTGAGCCCATGACTGCAACCTAGCCATGAACTGGAACAACTTGTCCTCTTCAAACATGCTGTTGATGTCAAGCATGAGGCTAGAGAATTGCTTTACGCACTTTTGCATGGGTTTCCTCAAAGCCTCTGTTGCTGTCCAGGCAGCGTTTGCAAGAAGGCATTGCTCCAACTCCCTTTTGAGGTCCTCCCATCCAACAATAAGCCTTGAACCATTGATAGTGTGTGTTCTTCACCAAAGTTTGGCATCTCTAATAAGGTATATGGTGGTGAGGGTCACTCGGTCCTCCCCTCGAGCACGGACAACTAGGAAGTAGTACTCCATGTCCTCAAGGAATAGATCTTCTAACTCTTTCGTACTCCAAGTTCCTTCAGATGGCTTTGGTTCAGGTACTTGACACCTTGGTTGCTTGGTCCTCTTTACCAAGTTGAGCTCCTTAATGAGCATCTTCAGTTTCTCAAGGTCCCTCATGCAGCAAGATCAGCCTCAAGGTCCCCCATGCAGGTTTCCCAATAACTAATTTCCTCATGGGTGGCCATCACTCTATCAAGTCAAGTAGTGAGAGCTGGAGCACCCTCTTCCAAGGAAGTGACTCGAGCAAGCACTTGGTCAAGTTGTCCAAGTCACTCCTCCACCTGAGTCAAGCAATCAGATACTAAAGGGGCCAACTTTTTGGAGAACCAACGATCCTTGGCTCTAATACCAACTGCTATGAGGGTGGTGTTTTTCATCTAGTCAAACTGTGTGATCTTGGCTCCTAAGTATGCTACTTGGGGTCAAGTTCAGCCTTCTAACGCCCCATAAACACACTAGCACTACACGCACAAGGGGCACAAAAGGGTCAAGGGCTGTAACTAATATGTTGCTTTCTATAAAATCACAATTATAACACCGCAGATGCTAAGAGTTTAGTCCAGAGGTTTACACATATCCCAATTAAAACATATGAAATTCAAATATAAAGGGACACTTATCGGCTCACCACTACCAAACCTGGCAAAAGAACGTTACAAGCGACCCACAAGCTCCAACCATCTCATCATGCTATATGACATGCGGTCAGTTACCGTTACAGGCCTCTCATGACCTAGATGTTTCCCCTTTTGAATTTGAACCTGTCGTTCCCACCAAGGCCGCATGTCCCAGTTCAGGCGCCATCATTGCCTCATCCCACAGGCTATCCCCTATGCGCACGCTTGAGCATGAAAGCCTAAGCCTCCATGCTCCACACCCTGCAGAGGCCTTGTCTGTCACAATCGATCGGTCAGTCCATGGCCTTAATACCTCCCCTAATAGAAGTTTATGGGCTTAAAGAACTGGACCACCAAGCCTGATAGTTTCGTATAGCCAAGTGGCGCAAATTCTCCCAGGGTTTGTGGGCTCCTTTCTACATTAAGGGGGTTCATGCACCAAGCTCTCAGTCAACATGCATGCACCAAGCTGGGGGTCTGACATTGGTCAATCACACTCTCATGAATAACATAATGCAAAGTATAGGAGGGTGATATACTGCTCATGGAGAACCAATGAGGACAACACATACCTACCTCCAATATTTTGTGTACGTCAATCTCCCGAGAGATTTACATTGTACAAACGGTAGGAAATGACCACCGAGATTACATGGTAATTTGTATTCAAGTTGCCACCAATTTCTCCACTCAGATTCACATACATAATGATAAAATAGCATTCTGGATAATTATTTCACAAACTAGAAAAGGAAGAGACATTGTTTGCCAGTTTGTTTCGTGGTTAGCATTTTTTCCTTTATTTTACTAATTAGTTCCCCCCTCTCCCTAACCCATCACTTTCTCTTACCCTCCCCTCCGATACCCCAAGCTCTTGTATCTCTCTGTCTCCCTCCTATTGCTATTTTTCAAAGTATACTTGTATATCGATATGCTCTCTGTGCAAGTAGATGTGCACCTTCGGGTTAGATATCTATAAAAATGTAAATATCTTTCACAAACAATTTAAAAGAGAATTTGCCAACACACATGCGGCTCCACATTGAAATTTAAAATTCCATAGGGCGCAAATGACTTACTTCACTATTGCCTTTGACTAACAAAACTGAAAATCACCATTGAAATATCTCTACACAATAATGAGAATCCAGGTTGGAAAAATCAGAGTTGCTCTCGAGCTTGACATGAGCCCTGAGTGAGTCAACTTGGAGAGTCCCGAATGGACTCGCCGAATTTCCACCGAGTTGATTGGGATAAATGCCGAAGCTATTGAGCAAATTCATAAATAAAAAAATAAAGAAAAACTAGAAAATATAAAATATAAAATGTATATACAACAAGTAAAATGATAAAAAATGATGTCCTTGAAAAATAAAATCAGTTATATGAATTGGAATTGAAGAAAATGAAAGTTACCCAAAATCTTGAAGCCGATCCTCTAATGTTTGCACCCAGTGAGAAAAGAACCTTCTAATCTTTGTCAAAGGATCCTCAAACACTAAAATCGAGACTCCCAAACCAGCATTGAGATTCAATTTCGGATTTACTTGATCCAAACACTTGAAATTTTTGGGTGAGCAAATAATTCCGAAACACAAATCTCACATCCAAGATTTTTAGTGGTTTTTTGTGAGAAACAAAGCCTATGATTCAAGAAAGAACCCAAAAATAGGCTCATGTACAATTTTCATCCAAGATCAAGCAACAATTGCAAAGAAATCGCATCTTTTCAAATTCGGCAAAAACCTACATCAAAAAGTTCAATATCTTAATAGTGGGAAAAAAATTGATATCCCAAATCCATAAAATCTGATCTATTCAAATGGTAGATCGTGCAAAAACAATCATACATCTGAAATTTACGCTTGATCAAGTGTGTGATTGAAGACAAATGAGGAAAAGGGAGCACATTAGATTTCCGGTCCCCTCTTACTTTAAAAAAAAGTGTCCCACTAAGCGAGTTCTGACAAACTCGCCGAGTTTGTGAGAAACTTGCTGAGTTCTAACAAACTGAGAAGAGTAAATCTACAATGCCCTCATACTTGAGTAGTAGTAGTAGTAGTAGTAGGGGGAGGAGGAGGGTGGTGTTTCGGGCATGCAGGGTGTCGAGCCTGAATGACTCGGACGAGTCCGAGTAGACTTAGCTGATTTTGATGACGATTCACAAAGTGGAATATAAAGAAAGGTGGACATTACACTCCCAAAAGATCCCAATCCTAATGAGCACAATACTTCGTCATCCCACCAATCAGTTGCAACCACAATGGTTCATGAATTGGTTTTCACAAACCAATGACATTTATCAAGAGAATGTTCAAGCAAATTTTTCAATCTTCTCTAAACAGTTCGTTAATAAAATAAGAACGATAACTATAGAGGAATTACCTTTTCTTTTTCTCTCTCCATTTTCTTTTCCTCTTCGTCTTTCTTCTTGCGAGCTCGTTCTCTAAAGAATGAACATTAAATTATTTAACAGTAGAGTTAAAGCAAAACAAGGAAACAAGCACCACATCTAACAGAAGAGGTCAAGCAAAACAAGGAAACATGTACCACAAAAGTGTTCCAGTCATATGTATAGGAATAAATCTAGCACAATTTGAAACATAGATACTTAGTAATTATGACACAAGAAAGAAAAAAAATGCATTTTAAGAATACATAAATACTTTCAAATCCCCTGCAATGCTAATTCTTGTGCCAGTGCATTGTTAATTGGTAATAAAAGAGCATAGCAATTAATGATCTTTGCTAAAGAATAGTAGTCAAAAGTTAATCAGGGCTTCTTAGCTTAAGCTAAGGACAAAACGATGACGAAAATTTTCACTCTTCTACAGGTGAGTTTTCTTGTTATATGAAAAATTTTAAAGAGGCACACTGATTATATAAGCCACTTATCAATTATCTTAAAGGGTGCACTCCATATGCACTGTCTCAGACATTTGGATTCTAGAGCATCCCTCCAAAGTTCTAACTTTGTGTTGATGTCATTTCGAGCCTCATCAATCAAAACTATGTTTTCTGCGAACATGCGCCACGGTACCTCATCTTGTGGGTGTCTTGTTAAGTCGTCTATAACTAAGACAAAGAGGTACGGGCTCAGTGCTGACCCTTGATCTAGACCTATTGTCACTGAAAACTCACTCGTCTCTCCACTAGTTGTTCGTACACTAGTGTGTATATATATATATATATATATATACATACATGCATACATGTACATACATTCTTTTTGCTATTTTTGTTCCTATCCTTTTCACTTGTACTGGAATTCATTTGATTAATACACAAGATGTAAAGTGAAATTAGTTGATACCTGAATTTTTAACATTTGACACAATTGAGCTACTGCCGATGGATATTGAAGACTTGTTGAATTTGGGATGGTAAATTTTATGTTCCTCTAATTATGAGAGTGCCTTTATATTTCACTTCTTCGATAAGTATTCTGTAAAATTTCTTTGTTGCAAAGCTTTTCTTTCTCCTATGGTCTATGAAATTTTCATATGTAGTGATTATTCTATTTAACACTGAGAGTCAGTTGTTTTTTATCTCTTTGATAAGCAATAATGCTTTATGAAAAGTTTTGAAATACAAGTAACATTATGAAACATTTATAATGGCAGAAAATCCCAAGTCCCTGAGCTGTCATTAGTCCACCCAAATCAATCTCGTTATCTAAAACCATATCATCTCCTGAATCATGAAAAAAGTCTAAAATGTGAAAATACATGAGATCTCTATTTTTAATATAATTATTCAGCCTGACCCCATGGAATAAGGAGAATTCCCTGAGCTCTTTGATAGTATTGAGACTCTATTGAAAATACATGGGATCTCTATTCTTAATATAATTATCTTGGGTCGATAATCCAAGAAAATTGAGAGATCGAGGAAGATGTCGCACACAAAATTAGAGCTGGGTGAGCAAACTGGAGATGTGCAATTGGAATTTTATGTGATCGCCGCATACCAATGAGGCTGAAGGGCAAGTTCTATAGGACAGAGGTGAGACTAGCTTTGCTCTATAGGGTGGAATGTTGGGCGAACAAAAAATAATATAACCATCAGTGTTTTAAAATGCGACTGCATCATGTGGTATGCGCTGGGCAGCGCATCTAAAATGACCGCATATGCGGTTTGGAGGGATGCACCGCATCAGAGTCGCATGGCGCAACATTCTGCATCTGGTCGCATAGTGTTCAGCGATATTTTTTCAACTGTGCACCTCAGGCATGGGCAAAATGGTCTCTTTGACCATCAAAATATGGGGGAAATAGTTTGGGGGCGTATTAAACCCCCTAAACGACCATTTTCAACCACATTCTTGGTTTTCTTGGGATCAAATAGAGCAAAAAAAAAATTAGGTGGAAATTTTTTGGTTGAGATCTTGGATTTGGGGATTTTTTGATACGTGGATATTGATTTGAATCTTTTGATTGTTGATTTGGGGAAGTTTAGGTGAACTTGTGACAACAAATCGAGGGTTTCAAAGGCCATGAAGAAATCGATACTTGCTTCAAGAACCGGTAACTTTTTTTTCCTTCTACAGTAATACTTTTTTTGGGGCAATGTCGTCTTCCCAATCTTCTAGTAATAAGGATCCGGCTTGGAAATATGACAAACTAAAAAATCCAAAAGATCGAAATTGCATGATTTGCATACTCTGTGGAAATACTTTTATGGGTGGTATTTTTTGACAACAAAAACACTTAGCCGAAATTTCTAGGAATGTAAAAGCATGCCCACAAGCTACCGAAAAGATAAAAAGGGAGATTAGAGAATACATAGATAGCTTGAAAAAAGATAAAGAGAAGACAAAAATGAAAAGAAAAGAATTATTTGATGATATTGATGATGATGATAATGATGATATATCTCAAGTTGCAATGAGGCAAAAGAGTACTCCAATCTCAAGAGAACGAGTTATAAATATTGGCGGTAGTGTTGAAAAAAGAACACCTCTCTCTAAGGGGCCAATGGATTTTTTTTCACCCCTAGCCCCAAAATTGTGGTTCAGGAGAGGAAGAAAAAACAAAACAAACCACAATTGAAAATAGATACAAGAAAGAACAGAGGAAGTCGGTATGTAAGTGGATTGCAAAGTAGATTTACATGGCCGGCATTCCTTTTAATACTATAACCCTTGATAGTTTTACATGTATAGTTCAGGCAATTAGGCAATATGGCCCAGGACTTGTTCCTCCTTCACTACATGAAATTAGGGAGCCCTTATTGAAGGATGTTGTATTTGATGTCAATAAAATTTTAATTTCTCAAAGAGAAGGATGGGAGAAATATGGGGCCACCACTATTATGTGTGATGGTTGATCCGATGGGAAGTCGAAGGCATTCATTAATTTTTTGGTTAACTGTCCAACAGGTACTTTTTTTGTTAAGTCTGTTGATGCATCAGACAAGTCACATGATGCTACATACTTATGTGGCTTGAGGGATGAGATTGTAGAGTTTGTTGGAGAGAAAAATACGGTACAAATTGGCACCGACAATGGTGCCAATTATGCTGTAGCTGGGCATTTCTTGACTTTGAAGAGGACGCAAATGTTTTGGACTCCTTGCGCAACTCATTGTGTTAATCTTATAGGAAATGGGTACAACATCTTTATTTAGTGGGGTGATTTCAAGAGCTATGTTTGTTGTTAGATTTATTTACAATCACACCATAGTCCTAAGCATGATGAGGTATTTTACAAAGAAGAGACAATTAGTAAGACTAAGTATCACTAGATTTTCCACGCCATTTCTCACTCTTCGAAGCCTAGCCAAGCAAAAAAGTGCCTTGAAGACTATGTTTGCTTCAGAGCAATGGAGTCAAAGTAAATGGTCAAAGCATAAGGATGGGAGAAAGGTTGAACAAATTATTCTAAATGCATCTTTTTTTAGTCAAATAATTATTGCATTAGAGGTGGCTCGCCCTTTAGTGAGAGTGCTTCGACTATGGGCTACATACATGAGGCAATGACTAGGGCAAGAGCAGAGATTAAAAATGTTTTAAAAGATGATGAAAATAAGCGCAAAGCTATACTTGAAATTATTGATAGGAGATGGGATACCCAACTTCACAAGCACCTCCATTCAGCCGGTTACTTTCTAAACCCATCTCTTCACTACAAGCACCCATCCATTGAGTCAGATCGTGTAATAAATGGTGGGTTCTTAGATGAGCTTGAGAGGTTGGTGCTTGACAAAGATATCCAAAATGATATCCAGAGCCATGAATTGATTAAGTTCAAGTTAGGGTTAGAAAACTTTGAGAGAGAAATTGCTACCCAAAATAGGGACACTACAGATCCAAGTAAAGGCTAAAAGTACCCTTACTTGTCTATAACTTTATGCATAGTTCCATTGTTTATTTGTTTACCCTTTATTTTTATTTATAATCTAAATTATAAAATATTATACATCTGCATGATGGGCATTATATGGAAGCGAGACACCAAATCTACAACATCTCGCTAAGTGTTAAATCTCACATGTAGCTCATCTGGTTGTGAACGAAATTGGAGTGCATTTGAGCATGTAAGTCCTTAACTCCTTATTCCTTAGTCCTTATTTCTTGAATTTCAATTTCAATTTTCAATTTTCTAATTTATCTAATTTCAATTTTCTACATGGCTCCATACCAAAAAAAGAAATAGGTTGGAGCAGAAAAAGTTGAATGATTTGGTTTATGTGCGACATAATGAGCGGCTTAGGGAGAGGTATCAAAATCGCATGAAGCTCAACCCTATTCAATTGAGTCTACAAGTGAGTGGACCACGGATCCAAGACAAGAGCGTGTGTTTGAGGGTGAGGATCTTACATGGCTCGATGTCGAGCTAACAACTGGGGATAATGAAGAAGATCGACCTAACACTAGAGCACAAAGGAGTAGAGGAGTTGGGTCTAGTCGCACTCGCACATCAGCTCCAGAGGTCGAGGAGGAGGAGGCTGACTCAGAGGAGACCGAGGAAGAAGAATACGTGGAGGCCGTCGAGGATGATATTGATGATGCACATGAAGACTCTCAAGATGACTTCTCTAATTAGTATTTGAAAAATTGACTTCAAAATTGATTCTCAAGATGACTTCTATAATGAATGGATGATTGTATTAACTCTTATTGAGCTTGACTTCAAAACTCTTTAATCTTCATGGAGACATGGACTTTTGGTTTGTAGTATCACTATTTTATAACTTTAAAGTTTGTGGTTGCAAATTTGTACTTATAGTTGTTGATTGTTGAATGTTTTATGAAGCTAGAAACTAGTTTCTATCAAGAGATAGTGGATACAAAATCTCCGTCAGCTAATATTTTTGGAGTTAATGAATAAACTAAAATACTTATTATCACATATATCACCTCCATATTTTTTTTATATGCATTAACCTAATTTTTTAGAATTTTTTTATATTTATTAACCGCATCGCCGTGATGCACCTGCATCCAAACGGCATCGTCGCGATGCACCCGCATCCAGACCGCATCGCCGCATCAGCCCCCCCAACGCTTTTGGCCACGTCCCGCATTTTAAAACATTGATACCCATAGAATGAGTGTAGCAAAGATGAGGATGTTGAGATGGATGAGTGGCAAGACAAGATAGAATAGAATTCGCAACAAATCTAATCGAGAGAATTTAGGCGTCGCACCAATAGGTGATAAAATGAGAAAGAGTAGACTTAGGTGGGGTGGCCATGTGTGTCGCCAACCATGTGCTGCACTTGTTAGGAGGTATGAATTAGTTTAAGTGGAAAGACTAAAAAAGGTAAATGATAGACCCAAAAAGGCGTGGTTGGAAGTAGTCCGAAAAGATATAGGGACTTATGGCCTCGCTAAGGATATGACAATTAATAGAGCAGAATGGAGAACCAGGATTCACATAGCCGACCCCGATTAATTGGGAAAAAGCTAAAATAATGATGAGGATATATATATATATGTATGTAAACCAATGCACAATTTTTTTATCAATTTTCAAAGAGAGACACCTCAACATTTTAAATGGATACGAAAACATAATAGAAAATGTCATTCTTTTGTAAAAATCATATTATGTCAATCTATGCACCCAAGGTGATAAACTTTCAAAGCCTAGAAAACTAACATATCCTTTCGAAGTATTGTATATAACACCCAAAAGGAACACATTAATGTTGCAATTCGTGCAGCTTGAAGACGAAATCGGACAAGCAATCACTAAAAATATCCTCAAATGAATTGACACACGAAAGACATTTTCCTTCCAAATGGTTTTGGTTAAAACAACAAAAAAAATGAAGCACTAGAGAAAGTTAGGAATCTTATTTCTCAAAGATGGAAACAAACTTACTCTGGGAAATATGAGTCCTGGCAAGCAATTGCATTTTCCCACAAACACAGAAAAAAAAAAAAAAAAAAACAAACAATTGCTAGAGTCAACAAAAATAATGTCCAAATTCCGAATGACACCATTAATATAATTGGACAAAAGTAGAAATCATATTGGATATTCTCATGCATATAATGGTGCAGTAAAAACAAACCGCAGTTCTTGCGCTTTGGCTTTCGCTTCCTCTGGAGTCAAAGATGGCTTAATAGACTCGACTCTAGTAACAGGTACCTGAAAAGCATTTATAAACATGACGCAGTGAAAACGTGCCACAAGATGTTCTCAATCACATGGGCAGATGAGTTAGATAAAGATAAGATAATTTCAAAGTATGAATGTATTAGGAACAAAAATACGAAGTCTCTGAGGAACACAAACAGAAGTTTGACTTTTCAGAATACTATGAAAATAACAATGCAGAGACATCACAGCAGCAGCAACAACAAGATAAATAATAATAATTATAATTATAATAATAACAACAATAACAATAACAACAACAACAATAACAGTAATAATAACAATAATAACAAGAACAACACAATTACTACTAATAATAATAACAATAACAATAACAATACTATAACAACAACTATTACTACTACTAATAATAATAATAATAATAATATAGCCACATTGTGCAGTACATAGATGCACACTTTACAAAGCATTTAATAGAAAAGAAAAGGTACCATAAAAAGCAAGTTCCTCTCAAGGCTAGACTAAGATACACATAAACTCAGCCAAGAGATAAGCTTGTTTTTGTCCCTATGCTTGTGTCTCCATAGAAAAGAATAAAAAGGTTACGCTCCAGCAAAATACCAAACTTCATCAAAAACACGTCATAAAACATAGGGCAGGGTAATCACCAGGCAGACACCTTTGAGATTCAGAAAGCTACCTTTAACCTCTTGAAAGCTCCCATATTTCTTCTGATTGATTGGAGAAAGACGATCTGTCGATGCCCACATAACCGAAAATCCCCTTTGACAACCCACTCAGGATGTTTAAGAAAACCGTCATAGTATATTAAGAGATCTTCATGAACCTTCTCTTTAGGCATGATCACCAACAGAGCACATTCCAATATCCCTGCCCTTTAGACCTTCCAACTCCGTATAAACTATCTTCTCGGTTGCCACCATCCAATTCACCACTTTAGGAGATAGAAAAACACCCAAACATTGCTCTTCTCTTTCCACTAAACCTCAAAGAAGGGCAAAGGAGTGAAGAGATCAAAGTCGTGGCTTCTAAGATAAATACCATTGTCTCAATCGTAATAGCACCAGAGGTTCGCATAATCAACCATTTCTTCAGAAAAGGAAAAAAACGAGACCAAATACCACATTCCACAATAAAATAAATTAAGAGATGGCCCACCAACTACTTATTACAAGGGCAATTTGGGGGAACAAAATTACCTATGTCAAAGACGAGCAACTGAGGAACTTATCTCCTGACCATAACCATACATCCTTGGAACAATAGTGGTTCACAACTTTCCCTTTTTCCTTATTTGGATAGTTAATCACAACTTTGCAGTTTGAGATGCAAACCAAATGGACATGTTGAACCCTTATTTGGCCATACATACAGTCAATCCTCCAAGATATTGGCTATACAGAGAGGTTCAGTAGATGGTAGAAGAAAGATGTGAAAGTCAAAGTCACTACAGTCATTGCTGAAAAAGATTTGACGATGTATGTGAACACTGTAACCAAAAAGAGGCAGGTTGGATGTCGACAATGGACATGGCACTCCAATGAATCCAAGACATTGACAAGCTAGATCAATCCAAAGCAGTGTTTACAAACACGTACCTGGCACAAATCCTGTCAGGGGGTGGGTCGAAGTTGACTAGCCAAGTACCGAGTCTGACCAGTCAAGACTTGAACCAGGCTCACAGGCTTTTTCTAAAGAGCAGGGCAGCCTTGGTCAAGACTCAACAGACTTGGTGAGGACCTAATCAACTTTTGGATAGTCCGAGTCAGGCAAAGCCGGTAAGGTGCAGGATTTGAGTGACTCTGGAGAGTCCTAGTCAGTTCGCTATCACTCAGTTTTTAGATGCTGGTTAAAGTAATCAATGATAAAGCAATTTCAAGGCAGGCCAAGAGCACAGACAGGAATATAGCATTGCTTGGACTAAAAAACTATTAAACATCCATGGAGGCTTGCAAATATCTTCAATGAAGCGATTCAAGCGATGCATAGAGAGGAACATAGTATTTGTACACACTTGACAGCAAGCAAATTCTTTGGCTGATTCCCTTACCAGAGAAGGCGTCGAAAGAATTTTTCACTTACAAAGATAGCTCGACATGACTAATTTTTCTCCTCCATTGCTCTTAATAATAGTAAATTGTGCAAATGGACACAAGTACAAATAAATAAAAGTGACCGATTGTCAAAAACTGGAGGGCCAAGAGCACATTTAGAAGACAAGGAAAGAATTGTTACAAGAAAGAACTAAAAAAGTGCATGACCCATTCAAAGATATCTTCCAATACTTGGGAGAACTGAAAGGCAGGTCTGGAAGCCAGATTCTGCATGGGGAGGTAAAGCATTTGTGGGACTACAAAGATAACACATATTCAATAGGCATTGCCTACGAATCACATAAGAATCAGCATATTGGGACCAACAGAGACATCTTGTGAAAGAATTTTGCTTAGGCTAGTATTAAGCATGGCGTTCAAATCATTGAATGATGTTCATAAACTATGGCATCATAGAAAAAAAGTAACCATGACTCGCTTGCGTGAATGCGTGCGGGAGAGTGTGCACATGGGACTGTGTGCATGTGTATGTGTCGAGTATTCATTTCCCTAAAGTAGGCCTCTATCATTGCTTGCGCAAGAACTTCGGACCAATATCCGTCCAATAACTAAAAAGGCAACATTTCATTTAAATAAAATACTCAAAACCCCAAAAACTTTATCATAAACGTCCTGATAGATGATATTGTACTGTACACACTATACACGAATCTAACAAAATGAGGCCAATTATCAAAGAAGATTAAAACAGTAAAATAAAAAATTGCTACAAATTGTTCACTGATGCAACAAATGGGACTATAAGCTTCACACTAAAGAAAAACATTTATCAATAGAAGATCATTGCACACACTATTGTCATTCTGTATTCACAACTTTGAGTTCTACTGCTTCAAGCAAGAACCATAGATGCTCATATGGACTCCTCCATCTTCACAATAGAGATGAATAAATACTAAGCCTGTGAAATAATTTTCAATATGAGAAAAAAAGTATCACACTTTGAGTCAATAACAAATTATAACTCGTCAAAGAAACTGAGAAATGCAAACAAGTAATAATAGAGAGTATCAAAAAAAAACAGAGCATACCATAGGCATCTGATCAATGTCCATGTCACTTTCATGTTCAACAATCCAATTCACAGCAGCTTCAAGAGTGCTGTTGCCTGAAAAGGAAAAACAATAAAACAAATGAAAGGGACTTTGCACAAATGTCAGATTTCATAATCAGACCAACATACATTATGCCAAAAGATCGACATAGTCAGTATTTTCTAAACCTCCACAAGGTTTTTAGAATTAATTATTCAGGGATGACAGTATGAACCAGAAAATTAGTTAGTGAAAGCTTATCAAATGCCACATATTAATTGGGCAAATATTGAGGCCCAAAGTACACATTATAGCATTCGTCAACGCCTTTCATTGGCTCCAATACATTCAAGAAATCACATACTGATAATCGTAAAATGACATCCACCTAATGGAACATGAAGACCTACAGAGATGTTAGTATTAGTTAAGGAAAACAAAGAATGTCAGTTCCGAACATTTGTTAAATTCATATTAAGATTAAGTGGGTTTCCAAATTCGTAAACCACTTCTTCCTTTGGAAATTTGAGAATTAAAGGTACACTTTGAAACTTTACAAAAATATCCAAGCATAAATCATGCCTTTGACATGAACAAAGGCTCAATGGCACATCAGCCTTAAAAACTTGCTCTTCATACCACTCTTGAAGAGCTAGGAACTAAAGGCTTTTGCGCTTCAATCAATTGAGTGAAATGTCCACAATCTAGGAAACTTGTGAACAAGTTCCATTCAACACCAAGCTCTCTACAATAATTCATTATGACTAAGGACTGCGAAATCCTCATTATCCCATTTGAAAGGACTCAAAACTGAGGTGCCTGCAAACTTATTATTAAAAAAAAAAAAAGCTGAGGGGACTGGCAAGTTAGCAACAATCTTTATGGAGAAATTCCTAAATGCAGAAACAAAATAAGTGGAAATAAGGGCATGATGGTCATGGATTGGTGCAACCTAATCCAGCCATTTCTTCACTCATGTATCCTTTTTATGAAGGGAACATACTGCACTTTAGGTGTACATAATATGGCCCCATAATATCCACAGAAAGCTAAATACCACATTTGGAGCAGCTGGCAGATTAAGCAGCATATAATATTGCTACTGATTTCCTATTTGCATTTGCCAATATGTTAGACCAGTTGATAAACACGGCCCACAGCTCCTAGGCTTCTTAAACTAGGGAAGCTGCACCTTCACAATAGCCAGGAATGCAACCTCTTCTTGGCTCTGCAGAACTCTCTCAGCTCTCTTGGTTCTCAGGAACCTACATGTGCTCTCATTTTCATTGGAACCAGCTTCTTGCATATAAAGCTCAAGCTGGGAAGGTGAGAGGAGGATATCAATGCGTTCTGATGGGAGCATGCATCAAAAATTTGACCAACTGTACACATTCCCTAGAGCTCATTTCATTTATAAAGAGATTTGGTTTGTGAATTCATTTATTGATATCAATTTCTCATACACAAATCGTATCAAGTCTTTATACAATTCATGGCCATCATTTTAGGCTAGTATTCACGTAGTCCCTAGAATGTCAAGGGCCCTTGAAGCAGTGGAGGTGCCATCTTGGGTTAGTTCAGTTAGCAAAACGGGTAGAATATCAACTGAAAGGATTAGAAAGGCCATATAATAGAGGAGAAACAGAATGAAGGATGATGGTTTATTAAGGGAGGATGTGGGAAAAGGCACTTTTATAGAAAGATATAAAGAAGAATTTATCAAGGAAAGTAAATGGTGTGAGTGGAGGTGGAAGCCCACAATGGGGAGTTGAAGTGGAGCAATATGGCTCCAGGATGGCAAAACCAGTAGAGTCAGATATTCATGGAAGAATGAAGTATTACGGTTTTCCAAGAAATTCGAGGAAGCCAATTTCTAAGGCTCCCTAAGCATAGGAAAAGCCACGCATGGATTTTATGATTATTTGGTATTAAAGATGAGAAGCACATCATCCAACTATCCTTTCCTCAGATATTTGGTGCACAAACATGGAAACTCTGAATGGAACCCAATGGTGAAGTTCATGAATGATGAATCCCAGTTCTTTCGCTTGGGAACATTAAGGATTTAAAAATACTTGATAAGAGGCTAATTTTCTTTTCTTTTTTCTAATAGGTAGAAAAATTAAGTTAAACTAGACTATACAGAGAAACAAGATTCCCAAAGAAAATAAAGGCATCTACAATGGCATAAGATCCCACAACCCTATTATGCTATTCATAGATATAGCCCAATTGGGTGACTTATGAACTGCCATATATTGCCTCATATATAAGTATTTCAAAAAGCCTAAATTTCTGCAAAAATATTATTTGTAGTTTGAAGGCTTTATTAATTTTTATTTGTGTAGGTGTGGATAGGGGTGGGAGGAAGGGAAGGCATTCAACCGATCCAACAAGCAACGTAACCAGGAACCACCTTGGTTAATGTTAGGCCTGCAAAATCTCTGACCAAAATCCCAAAGCCCAAATTCTGTAGAAAGCCAGGATGGCACCTCAAAGAGTCTTAGTGACACCTCTAAAATCGCTCCAGGCCCCAACATCCGTTACCTACTCCATCAAAATTCATCTCAAGAGTTTCCCTTATGAAAAAGTTCTGTTGAGAAGGAGGGTGAATGCTAATAGCAAAACTAGATGGCCTCAATAAACAAGGACTTTCACACGACTCATTCTCCACCAGCCATCTCAGGTATCTATTGGATGCAAGACATGAAATCCCTCTGGATGACCTTAATCAGTAGAAGAGACATCCAAGAAAGAAAATGAGTAACTAAGTATCATTGCAACCTAAGTAAAATGACCATGAGCCCTTCAATCATTCGAATTGTTCATGGGTATGCATCTTGAAGTGAGATATCTCATTAAAATGATTATCATCCTTTTACCAGAAAGTAGTTTGAATTGTTCATTGATACTCATGTTTAAGTAAATATCTCATCATAGATAAAGGAGTCGCTGAAAAATAGCTATGTCACATACGAAGGTCTTCTTTTTCTCTGACTTACGCAATAACCAAAACTTCAAACAGAAGTCAGGAAATCTGAACATTTCTTGGTGTATGAGATGGATGAATTATTCACCAACAGTTAGGATTCATAGATAAACCTAAGTTGTATAAAACCCACATAATTGAGCCCTCTTTTCCAAGTAACTGAGTAATTATGAAATGCCAAATCGACATCCATATGCAGTATCTGGACATGGTCATTATTGTTGGGCTTCTACAACTACGAAGACTGGTGTGCTCAATTTAGCCTCAAACTTCAAACATGGCATCAGAATTAGTTATTTTCTACAAAACAATGGACCTTCCATGACACCTTTTTTCCGAGAAATATCCTCCTTGTTCTGTTAAAGAGGACATATACGGCAAGTTTTCACAAACATAATAAGGACATTGTGTTTCCAAAGCAACAAAACAATTGCACGACCAGTTGCAATCACTCACCGGAGAAGTGAAGTGCCCTCATTGCCCTGGCTGTTGGAAAACCCATGGACTCAAGCTCCTTAAGCAGCTCCTTATTTACTTCAGGGACAACCATATCTAAAGAAGCATCCATCTAAGGGTCAAATACGAAGAGCTTACAAACCCATTTCGCAAACATGAAAAGGAATTCACAAATTCTCACCCCATATATATCACAATTCACAACAAAGAAGTATTCAAACTATGCAGAAAAAGTTCACCTTCAGGAGCAGTACTCCCACTAGCTGTGGCTTCTGATGAATCTCCAGGAACCAGAGGCACTTTTGGGGCACTTTCCAGATCAATTGGTTTTGCTTCCTCCAAAGTTTTATCGGTAAATTCGGTGTGTCCAGTTCTCTTTGTGTGCAAATCACTTTCCTTTAACATTAGAATCCAATGAATTGCAACCTTAAACAATAATTTCGGATCCAATTGAAGATAGGGGAGAGAGAGAAAGAGAATCTCAATTAAAGAACAGATTCAATAGGATAAAAGGCAGAAGAAAGGCATATACTGCTTTTGAGCGACATGGCTTCCCACAGGAGGTGCAGACTAGATTAAGAACCTGGAAAAAGAGAAAAATTAAAAGAAAACATACTCAAATTGAGTTATCATGAACCAGTAATAATGGAATATTCACAAAAAAATGAAATAAACAGAAATTGAGGATCATGCAACTCATTGGGAAGGAATAATTTGGAGACTCACAGCCTCTGTTGATTCAGAGAAATGGGAGTGAGAAGTGAGCTCCGCGTGCTCCTGCGCTTCCTCCACAGTCTTGAGATGGGCCCCACATTCTCCACAAACAAGAGAGAGCCCACCCATTACCGCATCAACCTGCACTGCACTCTATCTTCTCTCTCTAGAATCTGGTTCGTGGCGTTGGGTGCAAGCAAGCCTTTATACCATGTAAGATAAATTCAGTACGGCCAGGAAATATTTTCCATGAAGGGTGCAGTTTTTATAAAGCCTAGGCCTTAGGAAAGAAAAAGTAAAGCTCCACCTCGTGAAATCGTACAAAAAGTACTGTTAGTTCTAAAATTATTTTTCCACTCTCGTTATAAAATTTGTAACAAAAAAATAGTGCAAATCTTGTGGAGATGAGCTATCCTAAATTGGCAAAAAAGCTATGGCACGTATAATGAATGATGGGTAATTTGGTTATTTTAAATTATTAAAAATAATTTTTTTATATTTTTATATAGTATGTGTTAGGTATATAGAAAAAAATTTAAAATTCATATCGTGATATACATTATGAACCTCGTAATGAAGATCTGACGGCTGAGATTCCATTTATTTTACTATTCATTATAGCTGTCAAGCTACTATAGGAAAAAGCTAAAAATAACTGGCAGCTATAATGAATAGTAATATAGATAAAATCTCAGCCATCAAATTTTTATTATGTGATTCAGAATATATATCACTATCTAAATTTTAATATTTTTTCTAAAAATTATATTATAATGAAATTTTAGACATGTGTACTAAAAAATAGGGCACACAATTAAACAATATATATATATATATATATATAATATTCTCCAAAATAAAAAATGACCGAAATACCTTTGAAATATGATGGGCGTAATTTGGTCATTTTAAATTATTGAAAATAATTTTTTATATTCTTATATGGTGCGCAATAGTGTAAGATATATACACTCAAAATTTTATCTTAATCATACTTATAAAAAAATTAAAATTCATATAGAAATATACATTCTGAACCACATGATAAAAATCTGACGGCTGAGATTCTACTTATATTATTATTCATTATTGATGCCTAGCTATTGTAAAGTTTATTCTAATAAAATATACCTTCTATATATAAAGCACGAGTTCATTTTAAAAGTACGTGTTGATACAATAAAAATTCCGTATAAGATTTTGCTTCCAAACATATTTGTAGTCCTTTTGGCTTAAAAAACTTCCGCATACATATTGTACGACCAAGAAAAGCATCGCCGGCTTCATAAACAAAATGTACTTTTGGTGGTGTCTCTCATATATATATATATATATTGCAGTTTGTATAGAGCTTAGGTTCTGAACAATCAAATTAGAGTCCACCTTCGAATAGTATCGAGAAATTTGGTTTCAATATTGAAAATATTTGTGATAGATTTAAAATATATTTTCAACTTTAATTATAGAATTTAAAGTTTCAAAAATAGTGTAGATCGAGCAGATCTATGACAAACTTGAAAATCATAAACATTGACAGTCAAAAAATACATTACAAGAGGCACTAACTTGAAATCCATTTTTTTCTTATGTCTATGCATTTTGATGTCAAAATGATCAATTTGAGGATATTTAGGTATCAAAACAACCTCTTCTAGTGAATGTTCTGAGGTAGGCTCTAATTTGATTGTTTAGAGCCTATAGGCTCTATATAAACTTTTTCCATATATATGGGTGCAGTTGGCATACGGATGCATCCGTAGCTGTAGAGCTAAGGTGTACATTCAAATTTTATCATGATATAAAATTTTGATGTAAAATATTCTTAAGATTATCTCAAAATCTATTTTTATATCTAATTATAAAATTTTAAGTTTCAAAAATGGTTAAAATCAAGTAGATCTATAAACATATGAAAATCTTGAAAATGGACGATGTACATAATATGTTGCAAAATGCACTATTTTTTAGACTTAAAATCTTCTTATTTTTCATGGTCATACATCTCGATGTCTAGATG